GGTCGGCAGCTATCTACGTAACAGGCGCACCTCCATCGACACTCGAAAAAGCAGCGCTAACTCCCCTCTACCTCCTTCCTCCGGACGTGTAGGGCGAAATGAAAGCGAGCTGCGTCACAAAGAGGCTGAATGCAACTCAGACTTGGAAGAACTGCAGTATAGGGTACACTTAAATGTTATATCTAGCTGAATAGTCGAAAGAGATGGATTACACCAACTGTAGTATGCGCATTTATACATTTTATACTAAGCCGCCTCCGAACGGCTGCTGGTTTTTTTGCGAGGAGCCTTTATTGTCAGAAATACACTCGGAGGGGTGGACATTCCCTACCGAGGGGCGACCGCAATTAGAAAATTTAATTTAGTTTTTAATTTAAATTAGTTTTCTATAACTTTTGGATGTCAGTTGCACCGGAATTTGAACCGGAGCCTTCCAAATGGCAGAACGTAATGCTAACCACTCGACTACCGCGGCTGCCGGAATTGGACTCCTTCTACACCGTTTCTCAAGCCTTGACATCTGCGCGACACAAGTTCCTCGGGAAACACGTTGCTTTCTGTTTTGCTGAACTAGTTTCACCAGAAGTTGATAATGTTGTTGCTTTTATAAGGTACACCAAATGGTTCCAACATCAGGAGTTTCACGGCGGACTTATTGGCATAAGTGCGTTGGTCAAAAACCCTGATAAAAAAATAAAAACTTTCTTCTTTCGCAATGAAAAAAAAATCATGCTAATTTTCACAACTCCAGTGCCGTTATAACTAACTGTTTTACGTATCGACTTTCCAAACGAATATGAATCGGTTCTCACTGGTTGCACTTTATCAAACTCCCGCTGTTTCTAAGAAAAAAGAAACTACGCATAAGGAAATACTCGTACGTCTGCTGCGACACAGTCGGCGATAGCCAGCCAGCGTGTGTGTGCCGCACAAAGCGATAAGCTCTTCCACAATTTATCACACTCCGAATACAAAGAGAAAGCCGCCCTAAAAAATGCTAACAAATGTCACATATAATATATACATATATACACGTATATATGTATGCACATCCGCCCGCTCTCCCACCTTCTTCGTCGCATTTAATGCAGCTGCAATTTTTCGCTTTATGTTTTCCTTCAATCCTTTACTCACTTAGATCAAGATAAAATTCAATGCCCATACATACATACATACATCATATGTACATATGTATGCATATAGGAGATTCAAACAAATATTTTTTATTTAATTTTTTTTCTCTTAAGGGAGCGTAATCTAATTTGTACGCTCGTTCAAGTCCAGATTTACTTTAGTTGAGCAGAGAGGTTTGATACGAGGATCCTGTTCAAAGCGGATGGAAATTGAAACTCAAAATTTAGGAACGCAAAAATTTCACACAAAACACAACAAATCACGACGAAGAAAAAATACAAATTGAAAACTCATTTCTAATTGACTTTTGTGGAGGGAAAAATGGAAAACAGAAATGAAAACAAATTTAGCACAGAAAGGTGAAATAAATTTAATTTCTTAACCAGAGTGTAAATTGAAGAAGAGCTGAAAGCCCAAATGCATACTCTCCATTGGAGGCTATTCGGGATGGCGAACATATCAAAGTGATGAATAAAAAAATATTATGTATAATAAATGAAAATTTTTGTTGTTTTCTGAGCACACCTCGTTCGAAGATTTTGTGTTCGCGGAATGAGAAGGTTGTGGACAGGTGGTTGGGGTCATTAGTTTCGTAATGTGTAAAGGGATTCATATCGTCGACGAAGCAACATAGTCGGGAGTGAAAAGTGACTGACTTTCCTTAATTTTCACGATAATAATGACTGAGATGTCATTGGTTTACGGCAACTCTTGTCCGAGATTTTGTAGCCGTTATCTTTTTGGCAAAACTGACTTAAACAGCTGACGCACGTTTTGTGTTTTGTGTCACGGTCAAACATCTTCGGTTTGGTCTATAATTTAACCATGAATCGTCTTACAAACGAACAACGCTTGCAAGTTATTGAATTTTATCATCAAAATGAGTGATCTGTTCAGAGATGAAGCTCATTTTTGATTGAATGGGTGTTTAGATAATAAGCAAAATTGTCGATTTTTGAGTGAAGATCAGCCAGAAGCATCACAAGACCTACCAATGCATTCAGAAAAAGTCACTGTTGGTTGCAGTTTATGGGCTGGTGGCATCATTGGACCGCACTTCTTCAAAGATGATGCGAATCGTAACTCAACTGTGAATGGTGAGCGCTACGGTGAGATATCAAATATTTTTTTGCCCAAAATGCAAGAGCATAAGAAGTGGTTTCAACAAGACGGTGCCACAGTTCACATGCCACACAGCACGCGGAGCATTGGACTTATTGAGAGACAAGTTCGGTAAATATTTTATTTCACGTTCGGGACTGGTCAATTGGCCGCCTAGATCGTGCGATTTAACGCCTTTAGACTATTTTTTGTGGGGCTACGTTGAATTTAATGTCTATACAGACAAGCCCGCTTCAATTGGCGCATTGGAGGACAACATTGAAGCATTTATTCGGGAAACATCGGCCGAAATGTCATAACGACTATGCCGAAATTGGACTAAGCGGATGGACTATTTGGGGCGCAGTCACGGTCAACATTTGAATGAAACAATCTTCGAACATTAAAATATATGGACCGTACTATCGATTCAAATAAAGATTTCATGATTTTTCTGAATTTTATGTGTTTTGTTTTGAAAAAATTTCCTAATTTTCTTAAAAAATCACGCTTTACAAGTGACACACTTTATTCAAAGAAGAAAGGGAATCCCAAAAATGTAAAGAATTATCCTCGATGATACTCGACTAAAAAATAAACAAAGCGCAAAATTAATTGGAGTATCTCATGCAACCATTTTTAAAATCCTACACAATCATCTGGGTGTAACTAAGAGGTCAGCGCAAGATGTGTGCAGAGAATGTTCACGCCTCCGCAAAAACAACCACTACATTGTGTTGGCTGCTTTGCATAAGGTGGGTTTGGATATTTCGAATCGACCATTCTTCAACCCAGATCTGGGCCCCAAAAAATTATTACTTGGTTTTTAGAAATGAAAAAAGAGCTGACGGGTAAAATATTAATCACCGATAATGATGCCAAGGAGGCAGTTTCGGCGTTTATTGAAGGCAAATAGTAACTTTCTTTTGAAGGCATATAATAAATTAGTTTAACGATCTGAAAAATATATCCATCTTGAAAGTGAATATTTGGAAATGTAAAAAAAAAATATTATTTTTTATTTACAACTCTTATCCCCCATTTCCATAATTTGGCGCTTTGCAACGCTGAAACAAATTTCGGCCGAGCCCATCATTCAAGTTGTCGTGTCCCTCTGGGTGTTTTTCCAACAAATTAAGTGACCTACAGTTTTTTATAAACCACCTTTGTGCGGCCGTTGGATTCTTATGAGGAGCTTTGATTTTGATTTCAGAAACACACTCGAGGCCCTGCCGAAGAAGGACGACCGCAATTTGAAAAATTAATTTTCTATAATTTTGATTTCTTGGTATCAAACCTTTGGCTTTGGCACTTCCGAGCCTGCATAATTAAATGTATTCCCTCTTTCCTGAAGCCCGGATGTAGACCTCAAGCCAAAGCGTCCATTTCCAAGAAGCAGTTTGAGTGGTGAGTGTGTTCAAAAATAATAAAATAGTTTGAATATAATGTATGTACGAGTATACCAAAAAGTATATATATTCATACATATTTATGAAATGCAAATTTTTTTAATATCCGCCTGGTTTTCCTAAGAAATCACGAGAAGGCAACAAGAAAGTAAACAAAAATATTTTCCATCTCAGACATAAATATGTATACATATGTACATACATATATAACAAATGTATTTGCAATAAATCATGTTAAACATGGTAATCACCACGGATGGAAAGAAAAAAGAATGAGTTACGAAATTTCACTTGCGCGCGCGTAATAAATAAGAAATTGCAGCGATTAAAATAAGACGGAAGCGAAAAAAGGTAAACAAAAAATACTACAGTAATTATTGAAAAACAATAAAGAAAACACGTAAATGCAAACATTTGCAGAAAGGAAAAAAGTATTTATTGTAGTTTTCCAATTTTGCTCAATTTTGGATTTTCAATTTTTCTGTTTCGAATTTTTTTTTCTATTTTGAATTTTATTAGCAAACCGACCGGCGGCAGAGTTTGGTTAAAACAACGACAAACATACATATGTACATGCATCTACAAAAGTTTTGTATTTTCTATTGCGTTTGTGTAATCATCATTGATGTGCTTGAGCTTTTCGTCTGCCGCCGCGGCTGAGTGGTTAGTTTATGAGTTAACAATAAGAAAGCCAGAAATGAGAAGAAATAAAATGAGAAAAAAAAAACAAAAAAAAAACATTTTTCTGTTTGCGACTGAGTGCGAAATCTTAATGTAATTTATCATAATAAATAATGATAATAATGGTAGTAGTAATAGTAGTAGTAGTAGTAGTGGTAGTAGTATAGGTAACTTATTTCGTATTCGCAGTTAGATAGTAGTAAAAAGTAGAAACAACATAACGACAACAACAAATATATGCATATGCATAACATGCGCAACAACAACAACGTGCCGGGTTATTCAAAAAAAAAAGTATTTGTGACTAAAAAAATAATTAAAAAAAAAACATATTTAATTCAGCGTTGCATTCACAAATAAACAATTTTTTTCGATAAATTTGAACTAAAAAAATAAAACATATTCAAAATGCAAATTATTAATGTATTTTATAGCTTAAAACATGATGAGAATCAAACGAAAACGAACAAAACCAAAGAATCGGCATACAAAGCGTCAAAACTTTCCGTTTGAAAATGACAAGTTGCTCAGGGGTTTTGGGTAATGCAGGGGATAATGAATGGGGTATGGGTTGTAGGATGTATTTTTAATCGTGCAATTGATGCAGGGCATATGAATGTGTGTGGGGACAGTATGGAGTTATGTTTTCATTGTCTTTAAAATTTGGAAACTTACCAACTTCCTCATCTGTACGCTCGGAGTTTTGCGGCGTCTTCGGCTCTTCGTGGCTGTTCGTGTTAAGGGAAGAGGAGCCGATAAGGCTGCTCGTCATTAAGGGGGCTGAGGCCGCTAGCATTGCAGACGTTGGCGAAAGCTGTGATGGCGCTGAAAGAAATTTCAAAATTAAAATTAAAATTAAACAAAATTAATGCGATTTGAATTATATTAAGTAAGTGTACTGAATTTTTGGATGTTTTAAAAAATTGTATCTGAACAAAATATCTGAGTGATGTCAAGTATTTCTCTCTTAAATTGTTGAATTAGTTTCCCGCCAAGTCCTTCGACCACTTCTCCAACGCCTCGTTGGTAGAAGACCTTTTTTCAGGACGTTGAAAAGAGATATTAATCTGAAGGTTTTAGAAAAGCGGAATCCCCGGTATGGTTCAGGACATACCATTCGTTCGTGGTGTCAGCCGTTTGTGGTTTGGCATCGTCATGCAGCAACTAGATTCCTTTTGCCTCTCCTCGGGCTCTAAATCACGACCGCAATTTTCTTAGGATCTCACGGACGTTTTCCCTTCCAAATAAGATGACGGATGAGGCCGCCGATTGCGCACTTGGCGGAACACAGAATTAACATTACCCATGAAACGTGTTTTCGCGCCGACAGTGCTCAACGAACTGACCTCGAACCAATCAAATTGCAAAGAGGAGAAGTTTGAATACTTCACCCTGCTGCCAACATGACGAAAATGAAATCCCTCCGGCTGTATATATATTGGAATCAGCTAGTTGCAAAGCACGCGCTGAGGACCTAAAAACGCTGGAGTACTACATTTGTTAGTGTCCGGCCTTAGGCCGATTAAGAGTCACATCTTCCACGATGTCCCAGCTCCAATCGCACGGAGGTGGGCAGGCATAGGCATATTTTGTCTATTCAGATAATAATTAAATTTCAGTTTTTGTTGAGCTGCAGAAAGTTTCCGCTATTCACTTAAGTAACCTCTCTGCTGTGAACTGTCACAATTTCTTTAATGCTTCTTTCCATGTGGAAAGTAATTCAATACTCGTTTGCATTTCTTTCAGCGCCTCATTGCCGCACCTACCGCGTGCGATAATTAGATTGTCTATGTAGAACCTGTTGCATTGGCGTCAAGTTTCGCCGGTTTTGTTCTTAGAATATTTGAAGAATCATTTTTTTACCCTACATACGTATGTACGCGTATGTAGTATGTGATTATGAGGTTTGTAAGCATGAACTGTAAATTGTGAATTGCGTCAGAAGTCATTTCTAGCACATAATTGTGGGTCATAAATAAGCAGTTAGGTGTGCAAGATATGCCTTTATGTATTGTATGTATGTATGTATGTATGGTTTTGGTTTTGCTAAACTACAACTCGTCTGGAAACATAACAATAAAAGCTGAAACTTTTTCTTATTACTGGCAATAAAAAGTTTAAGGTCTCTCCGCCTGCCTCAAAGGAAAATAAACGGACAGTTGACCAATTGGCGCCCCACGAACTCCTCAATAAGCATTTCGTGAAAAAACTACGTGATCGCGATAAGCCGTCAGTCAATTAATAGCGGATCGAGGCGATCGGATGGCATCCATATATAATTTAAACTATATCCTATCAACGTCCATTAAGTACCATATCGTCGTTAGGGCTCCCTTCCAAAGCAAAAAGACCGACAACTCTTACTCATAGTGGAGATGTTACACAGACAGGATATTTGTCCCAGCAATCCCAGAAATATTCAAATCCAGGTAGCACTTGCTTGAAATGAAGCGATCGTTCCATATTGAGACGCAGGTTGGGTTCAAGGCAACGTCTGGTATATGTGACACTAGTTGATTTCTAGAATTTGACAAAAAAAATTAGGGACCTTGGGATGTGAAAAACAGAAGTGGTCTTGAAGAATAGATTGGAAAATGTGTTGAGGAAAAATTCTTGAATGAAAGATTCTATGTCTTAGAAGATGGTCTGGAATCATATGTGTCACAAAAACAAATTTAAATGTCCTTAAAAAAGCATTTAAGGCCGTGTGTTCGTGGTGTTTCAGGTATTTTAGCCGTACATACGTTTGTTCCATGTACAAAATTTATTAAATTTTACATACCTCGTCGCGGTGAATTTCGCTCCTCACGACTTGGCACCGTTGCAGTTGTCGCCGACGATCCCGCTGTTGCGGCCTCAACACTCTTAGCCTTCTCTTGCAGCTGTTGGAACATATTAGCACGGGCACGCACGCTGTTCTTACGAGTCAAACCACAACCACCCGCCGACGGATCTGCGTCAGCAACAGCCTTCGCATCCACTTTACTAGTGCTTTCCGTGGCCACCGAATGGTCAGCTATGCCAGACATTTCGAAGATACGTTCACTCTCACTGCCCACCGATAGGTTTAATTGTTCACTAGTATTGTTGTTGTTGTTGATATAATTATTGCTATTGCTATTGCTATTGCTATTGCTGTAACTATCACTTAGTGGGTTGAAACGTCCGAATGCGGGACGCAAAGGTGGTGTTCCGTCGCAGTGATGCTGCTGACTGTGCAGAGGTTGTGTGGCGCAGCGCGTGAGTGTGTAACTGCTGCCCGGCGAAACGCTTGAAGCGGCCGTCGGTGCATTCAAGTGGGCAAATGTGTTGTAGTTCAGGCCGGCGTCCAAGGATTTGGTTGGCTTAAAGGCGGATGTGGTGGAGGTGTCAAGCGGCGATGCGGTGGCTTTAAAGCTGTGGGATAGTAGGAATATAAATGCCGGATGAGTTCCGAATGGATTTTTGTTTGAATTTATTTGAGTTTCTTGTTGTGTTTTCAATATCACTGGGCTACTCGAGGGTGTTTACCTTTTACTTCACTAAATTTGAAGGATTTTTGGCTCATAAAATTAATCAATTTAACTGATATTACCAGCTTAGAAGAATTCAAAAAGCTTATCACTTACGACTGGTATAATTTTAATTATTTTTTATTCACTTATCACAAAAAGATTATTGACCTATCGGGTGTGATGAAGTATGAAGAAATAAACTAAAATAAAAGTAGAAATGAAAATAAAGGAGCTAAATAAAGTGAGCAGCAAATAATCTAGATCTCAATTAGAGATTACAGCGGCTTCAGGGACTCAAAAAATAATTTCCACAGGTAGCAATGGCTTTACGCTTATACATACATATGTACATACATACAAATGTATATGTGTGCATGATTTATTAACGACACTTTCAGCTATCGATAAGACTGAGGCACTCAAAAACTTTACAAATTAAATAAAAATCAATACGGGTATATGTATGTACGAGTATGTATGTATGTATGTATGTAGATATATTTATTGATTCTAAACAAAACCGCTATTAAAAACTTCTGTGCGCTTGGTCGATGGTCAAGCAAAACCAGTATGTGGGTATAGAACACCTCACCGATCAAATATAAAACAACTTTTGCTTTGTTGTCAGATACTCGTATGTACCTTTAAACTCATTACCGTTGCACTTTGATTGGGTATTATTGAGTTAATAAATTGCTTGCTTACGATTTTTTCACGCTTCCAACATTTCTGTTTGCCAAACGTCAGCAATCTATACAAACACATACATACATATATACTCGTACAACCACATATGTATGTATATAGAAATTATTATGTCTGTATGTATGGATTTAGGCGTTGATTTTATTTTGCAATGGAAATTGCCATGCACAAAGATATTTTGTTGCTTTATGTTGTTTTTGTGGAACGTGCCAAAATTAAAGTGGAGAAAAATTGCGAAAAAGTACATAAAAAAATGTGAAAAAAACAGAAAATAGAAAGGCAAGTAAGGTGTTATTTTCATGTATTATTAAATTTTCTTGTTATACAAATGCACTAAATTATTATTTTGCGTCGGAAATCGAATTCGGAGAGCCAAAAACAAAAAAACAGCTTCTGCGATTAGGATTACCGTGGCTCAGTGGAGCGAAAACAGATCCTCAACATTGCGATCGACTACTACACGGGCGGGGTGGGGTGGAATAGGTGCCGAGAATTGACGAGAGAAGCCATACGCATGACCAGACAAGAAAAAAAGATTTCAAGACGCGTGAGTATGAAATGTCTCAGAGGTTACAGACAAGAGGCGGCGCGACTTACTGAAGGTATCATGACGTAGCGAACTCCTGTAATGCACCGGAGGTTATCCACCGACTGTTGCCCAGCTTGCTGAATGGCACTGAAAATGCCCGACTAAATTCACCATCGCCTAGATTTTCAGCATGCGTTAAATCTTGAAAACCACCGGTGAAAAAATGATGGACACACACAACTTCTACGTCGATTATAAAGCAACCTTCAATAGCACGAACGCCGTTATGTCTAAATTTGTTATCTCCACAACACATATACAGCTATGTAAACTTGCGTTAAGAAAGGCCGAAAGCTTCGTCAGGATATGGAAGGACCTCTCCAAGCAGTTCGATACCAAACGAGGTTTTAAACAGAAGGGAAGAGAATATACCGAATTGCAGAACTGAATAGAGAATCTTCTTTCAAAACATCACGGCTAGGACCTTAGTCGAGGGAACGGTGAGCGACATTGACATAGTTCAACGAATAGAAGAGTACACTCAAATTCCGAGTTATGAGGGCAAAGAAGGTGTCTCCTTGTGGAAATAATAATTGCAATGCTATTGTATATAAGTCAGTTATTCCAGATCCATTGGCCTTTTACTAATACGAATAATATAGCGTAAGAGGACGTCGCAGCGAAATTCATCGAAAGACGGCCGCCTTCATAGAAGAATAACTGGGCAGGTTTCATATTTGAGGGCTTAATTTGGGGACTGAGATTCAGGCTAAAGTCAAATACGGTGGATGACTAAGAAGCGTGAGGATTGCCGAGAGGACTTACAACACGTTTGGGATGCGGAATGTATTTCTTAAATTTAGGGAGAATAAATGCAATGCAATATTTGATGGCATCATTTTTCGATCAGAGATGGAAGCCGACATTATGCGCTTGGGAGCTTTATATTCTGTATTACGATTTTGATTGGAAATAGACCTAGAGTATTTGCACCAAGCAAGAATTTCATGTAAAAATGAAAGAGCCAAAAAGGAAAACGATCAAAAGTAAAATCAAAATAACAATGAAATATGGCGCACCATTCACTAAACTTTTGTTTCACAAATTTCGCAAATTGTTCATACAAATGTACATATGTATGTATGTATGTATTTTGCACACATTACAGACCGGAGTGGCAAATCATTGCTCACACACACTAATGTATACATACATACACTGGATTTTCGGTTTATTTATAGGCACATAAAATGTATTTTTTGTCGTTAATTTTCATTTGAAAGAAAATCAAAACAATTTTTAAGATTCATTTGTGTACAGTGGTTTGCCCCGAACAAATTTTAAAACGAAGTTTTCACAAAACGACGTATAAACAATTTCTTTGAATTTTTTTTTTGTTTTGATAAATTTAATTTTTTAGATGCTTTTCAGGTCACTGTTTTTGTTGAATTGTTTTTGGTTTTCAGTTTTATGGAACTGTCTCAGACCATATATTTCTTGGAAACAGTAAAAAAATTTCAATTTTCTATTTCTAATTTTTCACAAATCAATTAGACCACGTTCTCTAGAGCGCCCGAAAACAATTATAACCGTCTTGCGTTCACGCGCATCGCTCGACTAACGTACTGCTGGCTGTACGGACACGAAAAACTCGAAATAATCCAACAAACGCATTAACACATTTGGCCGAATGACTGACTGACTTCTTTTTTTTTTCTTTGAGATTGGCCGGACAGCTGCGCGCCCAGCCAATGAGCCAGCCAGCCATACACATTTCACGCTTGGCGGTGTTACTAAACACCCAACAACAAAGAGCGCCAGCATTTAGCCACTGATAAAAGACACTTTTGCCATGTGAAGGCGATCGATAAGAAACCTTCAACACTTTTGGCCTTATCACAAATCAACTTTGATTGCATAAACGCACACACACACACACACACACAGAGATGTATTCACACATTCACATATATATGTGCAGATGTGTTTATGGTATGCATTCAAATCATATACGACATACATTTAAGATAATTATAGTTTGTTGCTGTTGTTGCTACTTCGTCTACTCTACTCATCCATTCACCCGCCGTCCACAAAGCGTAAGCGTAAGCGTTTAAACGTTCCAATTGGGCGATACAAACCGAACTAGGCGCACGGTTAGATAGTTGGGGAAATATTTCGATCGACAACGACAACGGACGATGCGCGATGGCGTTCCGCGTATGTGAAAAGCACAACTGAAAACCAAATTATAAATACAAAATGATCTTTTTAGCGCAAAAAGCGAAAAACAAGATCGGCTGAAACGAAGCGAAGGTTTATGGTTTATTTTCTTTCTATTGCACAAAGAAAACAAAATGAAAAGAGGAAGAAAACTCTCGCACAGCGCTGCGAGAGAAGGCGGACGCGTGCTGTAGTTGCGGCGTTGAAAAGCCTTTGGCCGTCGCGTGGACGCGCAAAAACAGAAGCGAAAAGAAGAAATTTTACTTTTATTCAAAATACAAATACCGCTAAGTGCTCAGAAAGTATTTTCACAAAGCTGACATGTGCGCTGAGAGGAGCTGACAAATGCTTTGTGTATTTACTTTTCTTTTGGCGATTTTGCTGTTTCGAACGAACGAACTTTTCATGTGGAAATTCTCACTTTTATTTGCTTATTTTCACTCAGATCTTTTATGTTTTTGGATATCGTTTTAATGTTTGTAAGACTTTTTCTACGTAATTTTTTAGTGTTTTTTATTTTTTTTTTATTTAAAATTTGCAATTTTATGCTAAACTTCCACTCTTTACAGTAACAAAGAGTATTTCGTCGCTTTGTTTTTGTTTTACTTCATTTCATTTTAGTGGATTTTTTTATAATACTTTTATATAGTGATTTGATCTATTTTATTCTAATTTATTTAATATAATTTAATTAATTTGTATTTTCTTTCATTTTATATTTTTTATTAATCCGTATAATATTTTTATTATTTTGCTTTTTATTTTTTATTTTTTATTACTATTTTTTTTATTTCCACTTATATTTTAAAATTAAATTTATACAAATTTGTTTGATTTTATTTAATTCCATTCTTTTACTTATACGACTATATACATATATTTTTTTGCTTTATTTTATTTTTATTTTAAATTTTGAGTTTAATTTTAAATTTCATTAAATTACCTTTTTTATCTTACATTTTTCGATTTAAATTTTTTTTAATTTATTTTATTTTTAATCCTGAATTAAATTTTAATTTTTTTTTTAGCTCTCACTTCTATTTTAACTTTAATATGAATTTTAATTATAATTTTACTTTTAGTTTTAGTTTTAGTTTTCGACTTGCATTTCCACTAAAATAGTCCAAAAATGTAGTATGTTTTGTACCGAACAAATGCATTTATTTTTAGCTCAAAAACACAGCACAGCGAGTTCATATTTTAGAGAATCATCCTCAATATCCAAACCAAAGAGAGCATAAAAACGGTTTTGTTTTGATTTGGCACAAAAACCAAATTTTGTTTTATAAATAAATTTTGCTTTGCTGGAAAAACTGTTCGTATACGCATTACATACACACATGCATACATACACGTATGTACGTGAGAAGAAGCTCAAGGATATTGTGTGGGCTAATGTACTAAGTATGTTTGTATATAAATAAATATATATATGTATTTATGTA